CGAATAGCATTGGTATTTATCATCTTAGGAAGGAGGATGACCTTAGAGCCAAGGTAGTGCCCTCACTAAGGAACTCAAAATCTTATGTGCTAGGAACTCAAATCCTACATAGAATGCATCCTATGTTGAATCTTTAGCACCGTGTTTTGTTTGTGGTGGAATTGATCATCTAGCTTAAGAGTGCGCTACCTACGCTAAGATGAGGGGAGTTTATGAGGAACACTGCAATACCTTAGGCACATACCAAAAGCCTTATTCTCCCTTTTCTGAAACATACAATCTGAGGTGGCGAAATCACCCCAATCTCAGCTGGAAATCTGAATGCTAGCTAAATAAACTCACATTGTACCTCCATATCAGTCCACGCCCTCTAGAAACTCTTTAGACGATACTCTACATGCATTTATAGAGGCACAGAGTAAGACTAACCAAAAGTTTGAGACTATGATCACCCAAATTGTTGAAGAAAATAAGGAATAAAATCTCATATGTCCAAACTAGCTAATGCCTTAGCTGTAGGAGGCCATGGAAAATTCCTAGCACAAGCTCAATTGAACCTTAGGGGGCAACACATGGCACAAACTTTAGGACCAAGAGAGACCAACTTGAAGGAAGTGAATGTCATAACCACTAGATCTAGAAAGGTTATAGAACCAACCGCCAAACTTAGGGAAAGTGAGAAGGATCGCAGTAGCATAGAAGAGAGCACCCCTAGTGAGGAGGCAGTGAAAAATCCATCTAGAGTGCCCTTTCCTCAAGCCCTCAAGTCAACCTCGAAATCTACTAGTCAACATAGTAAAATCCTAGAGTACCTCAAGCAAGTAAAAGTCAATCTACCTCTCTTGCACGTGATTTCCCAGGTCCCCATATATGCTAAAGTCCTTAAGGACTTGTGTACTATAAAATGGAAGCACCATGTCGAGAAAACCACATTCTTAACTGAACATGTGAATGCCGTAATTGAACAAAAAGTCCCACCAAAGTATAAGGAACCTGGTTGTCCTAATGTTTCTTGTATCATAGGGAACCATGAGATTGCACAAGCTCTCCTAGACTTAGGGGCTAGTGTCAACATCATTCCTTATGCTATATACTCAGCATTAGGTCTAGGTAAGATCAAACTTACTACAGTGGTCCTACAATTGGCTGATCGATCCACTATTAGACCTAGAGGGATAGTTGAGGATGTGCTAGTACAGATTGACAAATTATGTTACCTTGTGGATTTTTTGGTTTTGGATGTGAAAGTAGATGTGAATGTTAACTCCAAGATTCCCATTATTTCTTGGTAGACCTTTTCTCGCTACAGCTAACGCACTTATCAATTAAAGAAATGGTTTGATGAAGCTATCTATTGGGAACATGACCTTAGATGCCAACACCTTTCACATCATGAAATAGCCTGAGGAAGATGATGGGTATCATCAAACATACATGATTGATACACTTGTTGAGGAGGAAGCACATGCGCTTATTGACCCCGACCCTTTAAATTTTTTCCTTTTAAATTTTGAAATTCTCGCAAGGGATGATAATGGAGAATATCCTGATATTGATGGTAATTTTAATGATTTTCAGGATTATGGGATACCACTGGTGACTACTTCCAATGAGTTGGTACAATGCACTAAAGGTTGACAACACCCTGGCTGGATGCAAGCTAAAAAATGCAATATTGGGTTGAGCCAATGATAATAAACAAAGACGTTGCTTGGGAGGCAACCCAAGAGGAGTTAGTTTCCTTCTCTTTCTTTTTATTTTCATTTATGCGTTCTCTCTAGGTTTAGTCCATGTATTATTCATTGCATTCCATTTATTTTCATTTTTTGCATCATCCTTTCCATTGAAAACTTTTAGACTTCTTATACTTTAGCTCATGTGATTCACTTCAGCACTCAGGTGACATCTTTCCTTACCTTTATTTAGCAGACATGTTTCTGCATTGAGGACAATGCAATTTTAGTTAGGAGGAAAGTTTAACTTAAATTTTGTTGTGTGTTGCATGATTTACATGGAATTTCGGTCTAAATTTTTTTTAAGTCCCTAATTCACTACATATTCTTGAATGACAATATATGCCACTAGGATTAATGTTGTTTATGAAAGTTTGGAGTTGAGACATTTGCTGAATCTTTTTGCGCACACAAGCCTTATGGTAAGATAGTGGTTCAACACATGTAGCTAGAGTAATTTCTTGCTGATGTTTTCTTGTGAGAATTATTGAGGATCGAGAGTCACCAAACTAAAAAAAGAAATAAGCATTCATTGGTTTTTTGAATTGGAAACTCTTTTGAGAATATATGGTTTGTCGTAAGATGGTTGATTACTTGGGAAATGATGAAGGTCAATTTAGGATTAATACATAAACCTTTCACGCCTTCTTTTTCAATAATCACAACCCCTAGAAGCCATGTTGAGCCATACACACATATGTAGTCTTTTCTTCAGACACCCATGTTATACATACTTCTCTATACTGGAAAGTAGCCTATACACGTATTTTTCCACATTTGTACTTCCAAGTGTGTAGTAGGTATTAAAT